AGATCTAGACCTTTCTAATCTTCTAAGATATTGCAGCCTAGATCTAGATTCTTAAAGTTACAGAGGTTGTTTCTGTAAGGACTTGTGGGTCCTCTGAAATTTATGCATTTTCTGTGGTTGATATGATAAAAGCCGTCCCATATCTTATACCCATATTGAATACTGAATACTTTGTAAGAAAAAGAGATATGATTATCTACATTTGGGGTGACATAAACCTAGGCCATACTTAAGCATTATTCATATTTCCTCAGAGTTTCATTCTGAATAAGAAGGAAAACAAAAACAAAAGCTGAATCCCCAGTATTGAATGTAATCTACACGAGCTCTCAAAGTCTTTGGACAGGTAGGCCACAGGTATCACTCAGATCATTGACAGTTGGTTTCCTTTAAAACATCAATCTCTACTTATTTTTATATCTTTTTATAATTTTTAAAAAAATTTATTTTCCTATTTATCATATATTTTGCAGTTAGAGTGTAACTATTTGAGAAGGGCCATATCTATTTAGTGTCTTGTTTCTACCTCAAAATACCTAGTCCATTGCTTTCTTTTATGGTTAAATGCCTTATTTAAAATTGAATTTGAGCATCAGTGCAAACTTACCTTAGTTGGTAATAATTTGCATTTAAATGAAATTATTTTAATGTTTACAGAATCATAACTTTTCAGTAACTTCTTCTAAATCCCCATCAGGTTTATTTGTCCATTCATTCTCATTCACTTTTCCCCTTATACAGTTATAATTACTTTGCTCTCTTCTCTTCTCTTCTAGTTCTGTTTTTTTCCATCTAAAGTATTCCATAAAGATCTTTCCATAATTATTTATGTTCTTGGTATTTGCTGGCATCTACCTACTAGAAATTTCAAACTAGATATTTCATAAACATCTCAAGCTAAACATGCCTAAGAAAGAGCCCATTATCTTTCCACTCAAACTGAATCCTCTCCACAATTTCCCAATGTCATTTTAGGGTACCACCATCTTTCCATTGCCCCAGGTTTGTAACTTAAACCTTGTCCTCACTCACTCTAACCCTAAACACAGTTGCCAAATCTTGCCATTTCTGTCTTCATAACATTTCTCCCATCCATTCTGTCCTGATTACTCATAAAACCACTATCTTAGTTCATGTCTTCATCACTTTTACCCTGGACTATTGGAATCACCTCCTAATTGTTTTCCTTGCCTCAAGACTCACCCATTCCAATCCATAGAGCTGTCAAAAAATGATTTTCCCTAAGTAGAGGTAAAAACATAACTAAACTTCATCAATAAATAGCAATCAACTGCAGTGACTACACATATTGCCTCTAGAATAAACTACAAAGTGCTGTTTGGCTTTAACTACCCTTCACAACTTGGCCCCAATATATCCAAAGACATGAGTTCAAATTTAGCCTCAGATACTTATAAATGTGTGACCCTGGACAAGCCACTATGTCTGCCTTAGTTTTCCCATCTACTGATGAGGGGTAGAACTCAATGCATTCCAAGGTTCCTTCTACTTCTAAATCTGGATTTATTTCTCTTTGTGCTTCACTCAGAGCACTCCATATCCCATCTTTGCCCATGGTTGGAATGTATTCTCTTCTCACAGAATTTCTCTTTACCTTCACAAGCCAATTCAAGGTCTATCTTCTACACAAAATATTTGCTGATTTTCCCAACTCTTAGTGCCTTCTCTCCTTAAATACCTTGTACGAGGTGACCCAAAAGCTCATTGTAGCTATAAGCTTTAATAACTTCAGAGCTGTAAAGGCTACAAACTTATAAAAGAATCATTTGAAAGTTTAATTATTTAAATTGCTTTTACACTTATTAAGTCTTATGAATTTTGAAGAATAAAAGTTTAATTTTAATGAGATAGGACATGCTATGATTGCATTGCATATGAGACAGTTTCAGGATGACACCTTCTCACACAGGTGGCTCTGTTGAGGGAATCCTTTTGTTTGGCCACTTTAGTTACCTCACCTATTTCAGCTACATTCTTTCTTGTGGGGCTACATCAAACTGTCATGTATGCACCAAAACCTCATTCTTAAGAAGGCATCAAGGCTAGGATTGCAAATGCAATCCTTTCATTCATGAGCTATAGCTAATGAAAGTTTTTACAAGATTGGAAAACTGACTAGAGTGATAAGTGATGAGCACAAGATGATGGTGACAAGGAACTTTAATAAACATCAATATTATAAAAAATGAAATATTTTGTAAGTTTGTAGCATTTATACTTCTGAGGCATTGGAGGTTAAAACTGCACTAAGACTTTTGAGACACTTGGTATTAAATACTTTTTATTCTGTATATACTTAGATATGTACATAGTGTTTCCCCCAACTAATCATAACTTCTTAGGGGACAAGGCAGGGAGTGTTTCATTTTTTTGTTTTCATATCTCTAGTGCCTAGCACATAATAGGTGCTTTATAACAAATGTTTGAATTATTGATTGATTAATGATCCATTAACATTCCATGATCATTTAACTATCCCCTTATTGTTGAATATTTAGGTTATTTTCTTTCTTTTTGTTTTGGAGGGGATTTTTGACAGTTACATATAATGTCACTATGAAAACTTTGAACATAAAGCACTTTCTTGTGTGGTCATGTAAAACTTCTGTGTATGCCTAAAAACCTTGTTCTTTGATCTTAAGGTGAAGATTACAAAACACAATCCTTTTATTTTATATTCCCAACAATGCACTTACTGGGTGAAAAAGTATGATTATCTTAGTAACTTTTACTGCATATTATGCTGATTTATGCTCAATAAATATTGCTGTGTATTGCCAATAAACTTGAAAACAATGTTATATATATGGAAAGTAGACTTTTGAGTCAGTAGTTGTTGATGATCTCTAAATCACCTTTTTCGTTATTAATAAGATTTGAGATTTTTTTCCATGTCCTCTTTATATACTTTGTGAATCAATCTCTCAATGATACTGTAACTGCATAATTTCCAGCAAAGATGCTGGAACAATGAATACAACATATATTAACAATATGAGATTTGCTATGGTGACTGCAGGAAGAGTGTGGAATCTAGGTCTGAAATGAACATGTAGTGAATACAGTGGCAGAAGCCAAATAGCCACACTATGCACACTTAGCCTAATCAGGTTATTTCCCCCATCTTTGTATTCTTTAGTGTCATTTCTACCTCCTCTTCTATAAGCCCATCCAAGACTGTGATGCTACTGAGTCCAAGTGTCTATCTTTGATGGTGAAAAGTTTGTTACAAAAATGTTTATACCTCCATGAGAACCTTGAACATCCTAGCCTAAGATGCCTTTCCTTCCTTTCTTGTGTTAATTTTGTATTTGTTTGGCATATATTAATTCTGTATATATTTATACATACACATCTTTTATTCCCTAATAAAACATACTAAAAATAAAAAAAAAACTTTATAAATCTTTTCCATTTTTCTGTTTGTTCTCCTATTTTTGTCCTTGAATGCCCTCTGGATGCCTGTTCAGTTGAGGCTTTCACCAAGCTTCCTTTACATTGGTTTTACCTCCTCTATTTCTCTCTGTTTTAAGATTCTTTAGAAAGAAATCCATTCATGGATCTCATTTTTAGCTAACTGATAGTTTGGGCACAACAATGATTATGTGAAATCTTAAGCTACTTTTTCAATTTCTATGAGCCACAAAAAAAAGCACCAGGTCACCAAAGAAAAAATTTAAAAAGAGTATGTTTAATTTATAACCAGAATTACTTAGTTACCTGAATTGAATTAAGGAAGTTAGTGAATATTGTACCTCTGACCACTTCTCAATTACGCCATTGTTATAACCCTTCACTCACAGTGGTGTAAAATTACATTATGGTGCTTGTTTACTTGTTTGAAAAGAACTAAAGTCTTAAAAACAAAACCCCAAAGAAATAGAAGATTATAAACCTTGTACTTTTCTAACTAGCATTAATGTGATCTCAACTAGGCTCAAAGATTATATCTAAGTATGTAGCATTTCAAGCTTTCCCAAACTATTAAAAGTACCTAAAGGATGGAATTCAAAGTGTTTGAAAATTCTGAAAGGAATTAAGAGCATATACATATCACTCCTTGAAAAGTCAGTTTAAAGTGGCTCAGCCAACATAGCTAGAAGCTCATTAAAATATTGTCAACCATAAAGAATTCATATTTAAGTTCTATTCACAAGTATTAATGCTGGAGGCATAAGAAGTGAAGTCTAAGTTAAGTAAAAACATCCTCAAGAGGGCTTAAGAAGAGTTTAAAAGGCAAAAATATTTCACAAACTGCTCTGCAAAGTCCTTGATTTAAATTTAAGTTGCATTATTAATCCTTATATACAACATGGAATAGTTGTCAGCTATTGGCTAAAGACTCTATCATAGCTCATGTCTCTTTTTAATTATTTGCAGATGCTTCATCTGTTACTTACTTTAAAGCAATAAAATTCTAAGCATGCCTTTTCAAATACTCAGAATTATAAACTGTTAAATCTAAAAAAGGGGACCTAAAGACTATCTGACCCTACTAACTCATTTTATAGATGCTGAAACAGAAAACTTGAGAAATGAAATAATTTGTTCAAGTTCATGCAGCAAATTAGTGGCAGGATCAAGATTTTACTTATTTCACTTGATTATAGTTGAAAAATGCCAACAAAAGATATTATCCCTTAATGCAAATATTAAGATTAATGGGAATTTTTGAATGCATCCCTCTGAAGCTCTAGTTTTATTTATTTCAATAATTTAATAGAACTCCATGTCCAGAATGATTTACTGCTATTTCTGCCTAATGCTAGAGAGATGGGATTTTAAAAAATGGCCGAGGGTCATGTCTATATCTGAAGTAGGTAAACTCATGCACTCTTACATATTTCAAGCAGTCTCACTAATACCAGAGGATACTCCTCTATCAGAATACATCTTCACATTTTCAAAATATTTTACTAACATTAAAATGAATAGGATACCACTGGTCATCAGAAAAGCTTTTCAGGAAGGAAACTTACTTAGACTGCTTAACTGTCGTATAATAGCTGCCAGGGTACTATTGGTTACACATTCCAGTTCACTGGAAATCCCTTCAGGTAGCGCTCCTCGGCAGAGATGCCTGGGTTCGATGTTCCGCTTGACTAAAGGCATGGTTTATGGTCTGCAATTTTAAAATGATATTTATGAACAACACATACATTCACATCTTAACAATCTAAGAATTATGGTACACAAGGAAATGATAAGCCTCTTAGAGCTAGGTGTTCCTATATCATATCTATAGTGCTAGGTAGGCCCAGACCTAACTTGATAATGTGATGATAATGTCTAAGCTCAGGACCGATTTTTTAAAAATACTTACACAGTACATTATATTCATAAAGTACCATAAATTAGGAAATTTGTTGATGTATGAGGAGAGGAGTGAAGGAGGGGAGAAGGAAAGGAGAGGGCAACAGAGGGAGAGACAGAGAGAGAGAGAGAGAGAGAGAGAGAGAGAGAGAGAGAGAGAGAGAGAGAGAGAGAGAGAGAGGAAGAAAGACAGAGATAGAGAGAAAGATTTATATAGTGGTAAGTCAGAGTTCAAAATTGACATTTCTCGTTTAGAGTCTAATGTTCTTCATACTGGAAATATTGGTGATGATTGAATCTTCATTGGCATTCCTAAGAAGAGGGCAGAGGTCTAAGTGTACAAACAGAATGGACAATTTTGAGAAGTCAAAAAATAAGGTAAATAATTTCTTTTCAACAAATATACTTCAACAGTATAGGCTTGTCACGAACCTCTTGAGCAGTCTGGTGAAGCCTGTGGATCCCTTCTTGGAATAATATTTTTAAATGCATAAGATAAAATACATAGGATTACAAAGGAAACCCAAGATTAGTGAAAATAAAGATGTAATTTTTTTCCCCACCCGAGTTCCTGTACTCCCTGAAATCTATCCATACATTAGGGTTCTGAAATCTATCCATCCCCAGAGTAAGAACTCCTTCTCTAAGGAAATGTGCTGCCCATCCCAATGTGCCAGCACTGCTCCACAAAGAAACACCTTAGTGAAATGGCCTGGAACATTTGATGGTGTGATACAATTTCATTCTGCAAACAATTCAATGATTCCCAGACTGGTAGCCCCATATCCTTCATTGGTAGCACATTCATAAAATACAGTTTCTATTGGATTAAATTATTTTAAGACAAAAAGTCAGAATAAGCTAATATCTGTATATTTACAAATATTCTGTTGAATTCTCTATCTCATGTTTCTGATATAAACCTTACCTCATGTTGGCTCACTATCTATTGCTTCAGCACTTCAAACCCAAACAGTCAAGTGAGAATAATTACCAAAGTTATTGAATACTTGCAATTCTAACTACTCTTCTAACCTCAGATGAGGCAAGTAACTTTAAGATGAGAGGAAATGTCTCACCCAATACCAAGAAAGGGTGAAGATGTTTCTTAATGTATATTAAAAGGTGAAGAGAGCAAAAGGGGACAAAAAAATTAAGGAAGCAGTAAAATATACAAGTTACAAAGGAAAGGTTTACAGAACTGCAAGCTAATATTTTTTTCTTGAAGGCATGCTATATTATAGAATGGTGTGCTAACAAGATAGATTAGAATTCCATATTTGAAAGTGGAGAAAACAAACCACTGTTAAAATATATGGCAAACTGGGAAATACAGGTGAGAGAAATGCTAAAAACCCAGAAGGATCAATTCCATGACAACTAGAAAAAGTGTTAAGTAGAATTTTAAAAGCTTGAGGATAGCACACAAGAGAATAATTGCAGAGAAGGACATAAAGTAAATACTAGAGGTTTATGAGCAGAGGGGGAAAACAGAGCAAAAGATTTCTTCTATGGTTAATGGATACCAGCTAATAAACAAGACAGTAGGCTTGAGCTCTGAGCCTGGGGTTAAGAAGACCTGAGTGGAAATCCAGCCATAAACACTAGTTGTGCAACACTGGGCAAGTCATTTAAACTTTGTCTGCCTCGGTTTCCTTATTTATAAAGTGGAGATAACCCTACTTTGTAGGGTTGTTATAGGATCAAATAAGAATAACTGTAAAACACTTTTCACAGTGAGTGGTACACGGTAGGCATTATATAAATGCTAGCTATCATTACAAAGAATGAATGGCTAAATTTATCAGCAGTCAGTATGTCATGGTAGTCTCTGAAAATGGGTTTCCTATGAAATGTCTTTTATTTTTGAGTTTCTCAAGTGAGACAGTGTATGAAAGGCACTTTGCAAACCTGTAAACATGTTATGATATAAATCCCAACTCTTATCATTAGGGATACAGCCTGACTTGTGATATCACTGGAACAGGGAAGTCCTAGATGAGGAAGTTCCTTACACTAATTCAAGTAGTGATTGTCATCTCTGTAATTTATAGTTTGACAAAGTGGCCTAAAGTACTGAGAGATCAACTGACTTGACCAAGTTTGCACACCCAGTATGTTCTAGGCACAGGACTGAATACACATCTTTCTAGTTCTGAGGCCAGCTCTCCAACCACCATGCCAGCCTCATCATCATCATCATCATCATCATCATCATCATCATCATCATCATCATCATCATCATTTATAAATACAGGTACTGACATCATGGGATTAGGAGATACAAGTTTTTAGAGAGGTGTTGTTAAGAAAACTGAGTACAGAATTATTTAGCACAATCTCTTCCTCTAAAATCCACCACATCACTAACATCATCACATTTAGCATTCACTTTCAGTGTTTTCCAAAATATTTGTAAATTTAATAGAACCCACCTTCCTCATTCCACCCTGCAACCCATCTGTCAATCCTATGACCAATCCATCCAATGTGTATAACTCTATTAAATACAAAGTTGTTTCCAGACCTATTGTTCCTTGGTAATATATAACTGCCTACTCTTGCTCATTATGCTGTGTCCATTATATTTTTAATAAACTGCAAATTCAGTTCTTCATAAACAGTAGTATATTGTATCATTCACAGCTAAACTACACTATTGGAAGAATTCTGACAGTGAGATGGGCATGTGTGTGCATGTGTGTGCATATGTGCATGTACATGTGCATGTATATGTACACAACCATATGCTTGTATACAGACTTGAGCCAGAAAGGTGATATAAAAGATATCATCAGAAAAATTAATGACTAGAAGAAGAGATGGACTCATCATTCAGTAACAGCAAGAGATAACTAAAGGATGGGCCAAATGCCTGATTGGTACCCATGAAACATCAGAAGATGTGGAGAGGGATATCCAGCATATTGATTGGACGGAATATGGCAGGATGCCTATGGACACAGCCAAGAAACACAGGAAATTAAGACATGGTTGGGTTGTGATCTACACTAATAAAGCTAGTAGGCATATCAATGACCCCTAGATTTCATCCAAGTTACTAGCACATAATGGGAGTCTCACTTAGATGCCTTTACCTAGCACAGAGATGACCCTGGGTGTAATCAAAGCTATGTGAATGCAACACAAGTTTTCCAGACTCCACCAACCAGGAAAGGCTCTGAATAGAGGCTATTGATAGCCTAGTGTGGATTATGTTATAACAAGCCTAAGTAAGTTCTGAGAGGCTTCTCTCTAGAACGTTAGTGCCTAAGTGTTGAATTTCTTTTTTCCCCTTTCTTTTGTTTTTGTTTTTGTTTAAAGAGCACAACTGAGGAAAATTATTTACAAAATACTTAGTAAGGTAGTTGGCTGTAAACTCCACTGATGGTGGGGGGGGGGGGAGAGTGTCGTTCACAATGACGAGATCATGGAACTTTAAAGTACTAAATCAAATATTTTTCAAGCATATGTATATACATATCTGCTCTTTGGCTACTCTATATATCTCTTCTCCCCTCCTTTATCAGGACCTAATGTCCAGAATGGTGCCATCTTCTCTATTCCTTGAAAGGTTCCTGACAATGTCCAAACACAGGGAAAATAAAAGTGTTCAATCAGTCAAGATATTTTTTATACCTGTCTTTTCCAAATCTGTGAAAGAGGTTTCTGAGTTCCATCTTAAAAGTCCCTAATTAACCTGTTAATTGCTTTCTCAGCTTTCCAATTAAGTGTCAAATGCTCTGAGAGCTGTTATTTATTGTTCCCAGTGGATTGATTTTTTTTCTGGTATTAAGCAGAATTTTGAATAAACTCAGGAAAAAGTTAAAGCAGAGACATGTTGGATCAGCCTTTTCTTTTGAAAAATGCTTTTCTCTGGGAAAAATAGCATAATTATTAACAAAAACCTATACCCACAAGGGTTTGCTGAGTAGAATAATTTATTGAGAGAAAAAGAAGACACCAGCTCAAATTTGATTTTATGAGATGTAGGCCATTCAAATCATAAGAAAAAAATCATTTTCAAATTCTAAAAGGAAAAGCAATACTTTTATAAAATAAATATTTAATTAACACTTACTATGTTATGCTATGGTTTATTATAGTAGGCATTAGTTAATTTATTTAAAAGCATTTATTAAATGCCTACTATATGTAAGGCTAATTTTTAAAAAAGTAGTTCTTGCCCTCAATAAACTTGAATTCTACTAAGGGTGGAGGGACAACTTTATACAGATAAATTCTGGGTATGTCATGAAAACCTTATCTGGAAAATGGCACCAAACCTGAGTTTTGAAACATTCTAAGGAGCTGAGGTGCTGAGGCAATATATTCCAGGCATGGGAGACAGATTGCACAAAATAAATGACAAGTTTAGATGACAGCAAACAAGCTAGTTTTGCAAGAATCTAGAGTATGTGAAAGGGGGTTGTATGAAATAATTCTGTAATGATAAGCTAGAGACAAATTGAGAAAGCTTTTAAATGAAAAGCTGGAAAGTATGTACTTTATCTTAGATACAACAATAAGCCATTGCAGATTGTTGAAATTCGAATGCCATGGTTGGACATGATTTAGAAAAATTATCTCGACAGCCAAGTGAAGGATCATTTGGAGAATTGGGAGGTGAGAAACCAAGGAGAACAATTAGTAAACTCGTATAATAATTGAGGTAAGAGGTGATGAGGAATTGAACTGGGTAGTATTGGCTTTATCTGTGGAGAGAAAGGGATTGTGTGGAGGGACAAATGACAAAATTGGATTGGATGAGTGGGAGAGAGTGAAAAGTAAAGGCTAACTCCAAGGCTG